AGAAAACAGTGTGTTGCTGGCGATGCACGGCCGTAATAATCCAGAAAAAGCAGCTTCAGCAGCTCCGCCTCTGCTCTGACGCTCAGGCACGCAGGCCCTCTGACGGATGACTCATGGATCCTGGCTTCTGAGGCGAGGCTGCTGATTGGCTGTGGGCTGGCTATGACCCAGGGAGGCAGAGATGAGGTGTTGGCACACACTCACACAGCTCCAGGGAAGGACTACAGAGTCATGTATTACTACCAGGCTACAACATCCAACAGAAGGTTCAAGTCCACAAGTGAACGGACTCACTGGTAGTACCAATAAAACTCCTCTGGCCCATAGGTGGCGGTAATGCACCTAAAGTTCATTTGCCGAGTTGCACAGGAAACATCACGAAGCAAAACTTCACCTCCACAGTATCACCTCACTGCAAAACATGTGGTTGTGAGTACAGGCACCAGAGCTAACGCTAGCTGCAACAAAATTGGTTCAGCCACCTGAGCTAACATTAGCTACTATAGGCCTGGTACAGACACCAGCGCTAACGTTAGCTACAACAGAAAACACACAGATGCAAAAACCATGAGACCTTGAGCGATTAGATGTCGTTTTTCTTTTAAAGAAAATACATGACTAGCAAAAGAAAAGAAGAAACAAAAGAAGCAGCTTTGGGTTCCATAAATCAGAGCAGCTGGTTCAGTTAGCCGTAGCCGTAGCCGTAGCCGTAGCCGTAGCCGTAGCTCTGAGGCCTGTCTGGGTAATTTTCCCAGCAGTGTGGTGAGAAAACAAACTGCAGTGGAGAAAACACAGCCACACCATGCTGCGTCGTACACAGGACGACTGACAGTGGCACAGTGTGTCCAACCGTCAGCCTCACCGTCGTTAGGATGTTCCATAAAAAAAAAGCTTTTTGGATTTGAAGGAGAAAACAGAGCTGAGAGGAGAAGGCGAATGTTTGGATTTGAAGGAGAAAACAGAGCTCTGATTAATTAGTCTGTGGAAGAGGTTTTTTTTTTACCCCTGCGTTCTTCAGCAGACAACACCCTGAAGCTGTGGTTCACATTTTGTAGATAAGACTTCTGTGGCGCCTCCTAGTGCACATTTATATTATTTTCTTCTAAAAAAAGTCTGTTGAAATTAAGAAATAAAAGGACAAATTGTACCAATATCAAAAAATACAGATATTAAATATGACTATTAAAGATGACTATTAAATATGACGCGCCCCTCACTTTGGGAACCACTGTTAAAACGTGTCATTTATCTTAAATCTAAAAAATCTTAAAAATAGAGCTTAAATTAAAGCACAATAACAGCTGCAGTTTTGTCTTTTTGATAAATCAGAAATATATAAATGAAAAACATTTTGATCTGTTTTTTCTGCTCTGAAGTCCTAAATATAAAGATATATTTTAATTGAATTAAAAAACATACATATAGATGATTGCGCTCCGTTATATAATCCATGACATCCTTCTCTGCTCCTCCCCGACTGGGTCGGTCTACAGCGCGTTGCCACCTGGTGGAGGAGTTTGTGCAGGCACGTGCATGCAGAGGTCATGTGATCTGAGAAGCGTATGATAAACTGTCATGGCGTGTCTCAGTGGACTGACACTCTACTACAGTGATGTAATACATCCTGCTGGTGTCTCCAGCTCTGGCCTGCGGGGGGAGCAGGATCAGCATCACCCCCCCTCAACCCCCCTCTCCCCCCCACCAGGACACAGATACTCCTCACCCAAATTACCTCACCCATATTTATGAAGAACATCTAAGCAGTACTCAGACGCCTGAATGGGAGTAAAATGAGTCGACATGAAGCAGAGACGACGTTAAACAGGCTGCAGCTGTGATTGGTTGATTCCACCGAGTCTCTGTCATTGGAGCTTTTTGACCTCTGAGTGAAACAAGGTCACCAGTTCATCAGAACCAGGAAGGATTGTTTTGATGGAGACAGGAATTGAAATAAAACCAGGAAGGATTGTTTTGATGGAGACAGTAATTGAAATAAAATACACAAAATGTGTTGAGGTTTTTTTTGTTTTGTTTTTTTTACGGTATTTTACTGCAGTAATAAATGAGTAAAAAAATAGGACTTACCCATTGGAGAACTTTTATAAATCCCAGAGGTTGTTTGATTACGGTGAACTGCCCTTGGGCCACCAACTGTTAGAAACACAAACACAAGGAGGTGAAACCAGCATCATGATGATGAAGATGATGATGAAGATTACCACAGTTAGCTGGACCTTACAGCCCACAGGCCTGGCCATCTGCTGGCCTGCCACCCCTCTGTTTGCTACAGCTAATTAAACTGCAGTTTTCAAGTACTAGTACTACCAGAGATCTGACCAGTTGTACATTAAAGGGTTAATAATAATGTTCCATTTGATAACAGATATGTATAAAATATATTTCTGACTTGAAGTTAGCAGTAGCATTCGTGCTAACTAGCAGCCAAAGCCTCAGTGAGGCCAGAATGTTTAGGGTTTGTGTTCTAATGTCGAGTGTGGTTTGGTTAAAAATAGCCACCGTAGTCTTCCCCTCCCCCACTTCCTCTTCCCCCCCTGGTGGACATTAAACCTCTGACTTGTAAATAACAACTATAACGAGGAAAGATGGAACGAAACGAGTTAAACTAACAAGGATTTAAATCAGTATTTTTACCCATTTAAACCATTTAACACTTAAATTAAAAAATTCTCCAGAAGAATTAGTCAGACATTCAGACTTTGGACGACCGATTATAGTTAAAGCACCGAGTGGGACGGTGCGGGAGAGGGGGGGGGGGATCACAGGGTTAGGGTTAAGGTTAATCACAGATGGGGGGGAGGTAGGGTACTGGGTAAACGAGAGACGGTTGAGCTGTTGAGCTGTACACCCCTGAAAACGCTGGAACCAGACTTTACTTTGAAAACAATTTTTGATGAATTAACTACACATTTAAAAACATTTACATGAAAAACATCAAGGCAGGAATGGAGCCCACAACCCTCCAGTCGTAGGCCACCTGGACATGTACTTCAGCGGGCCTACAGAAAACACAGGCAGGGGGCAGCACTAGTACCAAGGGATTCTATAAGTACGTGAGAGAGTCGATACGGAGTGTGGTCCAACTACTGCACCGCGGAACATTAGTGTGTACCACGGCAAACGATCCAATTTTACTTACTTTGTCTTTCTTCAATTCCTGCCGGCGTGTCAGTGCGGTGTTCAACTAAACAGGCCCCGCTTTCCAAATGAGTACATTTTTGTTTTTGTTTTTAAATATGTAAAATATGCGGTTGTTGGTTCCAAATTCTTGCTGTAAGGCAGGAGGGCTGACCGCTCCTCCACCGTGTGGCGCCTGCTCTCTGAGAATACCTCTGTATTTTGGAATTATGGTGAGCAGAGGAATTTTTTTTAAATTTTTTTTTTTTTTGTGCAGGTGAATGCGGCACCGCAAAGACGACGGAGTGTGTGAGTGTGTGTGTGTAGCACGGATGGTGGTTTTTTTGTTTTTTTGTTTTTTCTCATCTTCACTGAAGACACGGCGACGCGTGAATAGATCATAATAAAAATATTAAATAATAAAGAGGCGTATTCTGGGCCGTGACTCCTCCTCCACCTCCTCCTCCACCTCCTGCTGCTGCTGCTCCTCCTGCTGCTCCTCCGCTGATGCTGCTGCCACTGCTGCTGCTGCCTCCTCCCATCATCTGCCTAATGTCACCGCTGCAGCAGTCTGTGGACAGTTTTCAACCGACGACTACACCTTCCTGCTGCAGCATCCGTGGCCCAGCACCATCTGCCCCGTCCGGCCCTTCACACACACACACACACACACACACATGCACATTTCATCTGCGTGCAAACATTTCCGTTTCCACTCCCGATGTCGCGAAGACGATAAAAAAAAAAAAACGAAAAAAAAAAAACCACAACAAAACGGCGACTTTGTTACATATTGACAAAAAAAAAACCCCAAAACCCACAAACAAACAAATCTGCCGCGGCGCACGACGCACAAGACGAATAAAAACGCAACTGACGACAACAGCAGGAGTCAGTTATGATCAAAATAGATGATTAACCCTCCACAGAAAGCTTACCTGGTTCACGACATCCATCTTGGCCGCTTACTCGCAGATAAGAGGATCAGAGGGGCGGAGGGAGGAGGCCGTCACATCAGGAACAGCCCAGGGGAGGAAGACGCCCAGGAGGAAGAGCCGGACTGCGTCACGACCTGCTGTGAGGACGCGTGCGAGGCGTCGTGACGTCTTACACATCCACCGGCCGTCTGTCCAATCACAGCGCAGCTTTATTCTAAGGCAGATGAGATTTGCCTGCAGGGCAGATAAGAGAACAGAGAAGAAGAGGAGAGGAGAGGAGGAGGAGAGGAGGAGAGGAGAGGAGGAGGAGAGGAGGAGAGGAGAGGAGGGGAGGAGAGGGGGAGAGGGGGAGGGGAGGGGAGGAGGAGAGGAGGAGAGGAGGAGAAGAGGAGGAGAGGAGAGGAGGAGAGGAGAGGAGGAGGAGAGGAGAGGAGGAGAGGAGAGGAGGAGGAGAGGAGAGGAGGAGAGGAGAGGAGGAGAAGAGAGGAGGAGAGGAGGAGAGGAGGAGAAGAGGTGAGGTGGAGAGATGTTCAGAGGGGGAGAGGAGGAGAGGAGGAGAGGAGGAGGAGGAGAGGAGGTGAGGAGGAGAGATGTTCAGAGGGGGAGAGAGAAGGTCACGGAGAAAGACTTCTCAGCTGCTGCAGGTCAGGGACCAGGAACCAGGAGTTCATTCTAAACCTGGATGTCTGTGAAAAAAACAAGGAGAGCAGGAGGAGGAGTTAGAGGAGGAGGTGATGAGGAGGGAGACAAACAATACAGCAGCTCTGTGTGTGTGTGTGCAGAGGAACCCAGATGTTTGTCCATTAATGGATGATTATATAACGCAGTACTACAGTACAGTATATATTTACTGCAGTCCTGCACAGCCCCGTCATACTGTAGTACTGCTAAGAAAATCTATCAAACTATCAACAAAAAGAACTCCTATATACTGTAACATGAGGAAATTAAATATGAATATGAAACAAAAAAATACTATTTTATTCTGGTGAGAATAAAACAGGGATTTATTCATTTGATGTGAGCAGGTTTTTAAAGGATTTTTTTTGTCATTTTTTTCCCTATAAAATATATTTTTTCCCCCTGAAGAAACTGCATTAGTTTGTAAAATTGGAAATTTTAGAAACTGCTTCATTTCCAAAAATGAATCATTCTTTGGTTGTTGTTTATATCCAAAAAAACAGTGGAAAAAAAAAACACTAAAAGTTTTGATTAAATCCAAAACAGAATTTTTTTTTTTCATATGAAATGAAAACCTGGTTGTAAAACAGAAATTACAAATAACTTTATTTACTCAAGGAATATTTTTAATGTAAATAAGAAATAAACATTTTCTGGAGACGCTGACGAAGCACGAGTGGACGAGTAATTGACAGAACAAAGTTGTCCGACGCCGGACCCTGACCCGTCTGGACCACCTGTCAGTCACACTTATATACACATTATTTTTCTTTTATACAAAACTGACCTCATATTTTTAAAAACATCTAAAACTAGTGACGGAAATCAGAAAATATTCAGGAAACAGACTCTTTCATCCTGACCTAATTTTCTTTCACAACGTCTTTCAGACTGGTTTGTTCCTAACATGAACAAACAGCTACATGGTTCTTCTATATGTCTCTATATGTACATATAAATATATATATTTAAATATATATATATGTCTGTCATTCGCCGACATCTTCAGCAGATTCTTTCCTTTCCTGATCGTTAAAGGATCATTCCATTTTAAAAATAAAACATCTTTTAGACTTTATTCCGTTTCCCGCTGCGGTCCAGTACCAAATGACCTCCGAACCGGCACCCGGACCAGGGGTTGAGAACCCTTACATTAGATCACCGTAGACCACAGTAAATCAATGTGTTATTTGGCATTTGCAAACATGTCATATCACGTCCTAGAGGCAGGAAAAAAAAAAACAGATTTCCATTTGTGTCAAATCTCGTCACTCGTCTCCACAGAACACGACACGACCCACCACAAAAAAAGGCTTTTTTTTTTTCTTTCTTCTCAGCTGTAATGCACTCTCTCTCACACATGTTCTGTCTGTGGTTGACGTCAGTAGGAAATGACACAGTTCATTTCATCAGCCAGCTCCTCCTCAAAACGTGACATGGAGCGGGCGGCGCCGCGCGCTATCAAGTCGGAGGCGGCGTTCTCGATTTCGTCCAGGCTCATGTGGCAGGCTTCGGCGATCTCTTTCTTGGCAAAGTTCACAAATTTGGGGTCTCTGGCGTAGATGCCGAGACCCTCGGAGATCAAGATCTGGAAGTAGACAAACAGAAATTAGAGACAAGATTTTGCCCAGATTCTGAATTCTCTGTCAACAGGAATTGTGTATTGAAATGTATTTAAGTGACACTTTTCTGCTCTGGTTCATGTGAGAGCTGCAGCAGTTGAAGCTCCGCCCCCCTTAAACTCTCAATCGTTGAATCCAATCCTAACCTAATGACCCCTGTGACCTAAAGATTGTTTGCATGTGTCCAAAGCCAATGAACAAACTGATAAAATAATAATAATAATAATAATATTATATTTGTACAGTAGTTTATGTGAATCCAACGTCCAAAACTTTTGGAACTCAAAGTTGTGTAACTCAACAAACACAGTAAATGTACTAGGACGTCCTGCTGTGCGATCAACGTCCAAAACTTTTGGAACTCAAAGGTGTGTAACTCAAACAGACTCACTGATTCGACCAGACTGTCTGCACTGCCTTTGTTCATGAAGCCCATGTGGGCCGGCGGCACCCTCATGCTGGTGAAGGTCCTCGTCTGGCCGGGGTACCAGGCGGGACGACTTCCTGCCGGGAGACTGGCAGAGCCGTCGCTCCACAGCGGCTGGCTGCTGCCCGTGGCCTCGTCCACCAGGATCATGGGCGTGTAGATGAGCTTCCCCCTGCGCCCTGAGGGGGCGATCACTCCCGGAACAGGAGTGGTGCCAGCTGCTGCCGTGTTGGCCCAGGAGGCGGACGACATGGAGGAGACGCTGCTGGGCCGGGAGTCCAGACTGTGCTGGGCCTGAGACAAGTGACAGAAGAACAAGAACCAAACAGAACGTTTGTCTGTGACAGAGGTCTTCAACATTTTCCGACCCCTGATGAAGTGACGAGGACGGTACCTGCAGACGGGCTCTGGACGGAGATGTGTTTCCACAATAGTTCCCTGGAACAGGGAGATCATCCACACTGCTCTGAGGCCTCAGACACTGGAGGTTAAAAACAGGCTTACGATCTGGAACAGAGAGAACAGAGCGTGAAGAACCTGTTAGAACACGGAGCAACATGTACGAATAAAAAACAACCACTCTCTGAAAATATAAACAGGAATAAATATGACATCATATATATTCTAGTGCTGTCCCAGCTGTCACCAGTGGGGGCAGTGTTACACCCTGGAAAGTTCTCCAATCCACTACAGAGTCACATAGAGAGATACAAACAGTCAAGATGAGCTCCCGTGGGCCATATATAAAAATGCTGCGGGCCGTATTCAGCCCGCGGGCCTTGAGTTTGACGTGTAGTTTAGAGAGAACAGTTGAGAGTCCCCAGGCTGCGTGTTTTTATACTGTGATGACCTGCAAACTCTGCAGAAACAGTCCAAACCAGGACAGAACTCTTGACGTAAAACCAAGAGCAGCACATGGTTCTATGAACGAGTAAATAATTAAAAGAATATGAAGGAAATATTTGTGGTAAAAACACAAGAATTCATCACGACAATACAATCAAGAATCAAAGTAAAGAACCAAAACCCAGACCCTGACAAATCAACTCTGTCCAACACGTCCTCGACCTTTGTGATGGTCTCACCTTGAGGTATGGCAGGAAGGAGCCGCCTCCTGACAAACTGCGATCCACCGTGTTCGCTTCCGTTGTATCCGAAGCTCCTCACGCTGACTCCACTTCCGTTGTAGTCGCTCACCACGCTCTCGTTCCCGTTGGTGCTGACGACGCTGCCGTTTTTGTCGTAGCCAGAGTAGCCGTTCAGGCCGTAGCCGTCGGTGGAGTTGGGGGTGGGGCTGGCGGCGAGGCTGCCTCCGTACATGTTGGTGCTACTGTAACCGTTGCTCATGAAGCCGTTGGAATCGTTGCTGTCGTAAGGTATTTCCCCGAAGCTGCTGGCTGCGTCAAAGCTCTGTCCGTTGTAGCCGGTGTCTGACGGCACGGGTGAGACAGCGTCTGGGTACGGGTAGCTGTCAAGGTCAAAAGTCAGTTTTTTTAATGAAAGCATTCCTATATGGAAATGGACATTTTTAGATTTTATGTTGTGGAATGTAGTCACCTGTCAACTGAAGCCAGGTTCACAGCCTCTCCTTCACTGACATGAACCTGCTCAGTCCTGGTTGGTGCCACAGTCGGTTCTTCACGTACAAGGTCTCCACCTCCTGGAATCTCTACAGGTGCAGGTGGAGGAGGTGGAGGAGGAGGAGGAGGCATGTCACTGAGGGGCTCCACCCTGTTCACCACATCGAAGAGAGATTAAAAGACAGTTAATAAATCGCAGTGTTCTGATTGGATGAGTTTCATATAACATAGACTTTTATGTTGAAGAAAACTAGCAGCATAAGAAATAAATATTTTACTTTTTTAAGTCTTGATTTTATTTCATAAACCTCCCTTTATTTACTGTTTGACACGTCTGTGTTCAGTACTGACGTCATTTCCTGTTGTAGGGCTGTTTACTGTGTGAATAACACTGACTACATTGTTTCAACCATTGTTCCGTACAGTAGAAGTTACCCAAACCTTCCGTGAGGGGGCGCCAGAGCACTTAGTAAAAAAGGGCAGACTATAATCTAGTTTTTTACCCACAAAATAAACAATAACAATAAAACAGAAAATGTTGTTCAGTTTAGCATGACACGTGTGAATTTAGGGCTTTTTTTTTTGGTCCTTGGAGGGAGGTCCAAAATGTT